ATATTTCAAAAAGGCATCTGTAATATAAAGAACCGTACTAATAGATTTAACCAGGAAACACATATGATTATCTACAAATGTTAAAGTCTGAGAAAATTCAACATTCATTTCTGATAAAAACATTCAAGAAAACAGGATTTGAAAGATGTTTCCCTAGCATTGTTTTTGTTTTAAAAAAAAGACCTGAGTACTGAAGCCAGCACTTTACTAAAAAGGAAACAAAAGTATCATTTTCACAGATCAGGAGCAAAATAAGGATGCCCACTATTTCCACCATCATTTACCACTGTCCCTTAGCTACTGCAGTACACAAAACAAAGAAGCTAGTGATACAAGACTCAGAAAACAAAACTATGTCTATTTGCAGATGACATGATAGGAAAACCCTGGAAAACCAATGCTAAAACTAACTCAACCAAGGTTCAGAAAGGTAGCAGAATATCAATATAACACACTGAAATCAGCTTGGCATCAAAGTGGTGACCTCTAGGACAGCTCACAACAATGAGAACTCCCTAGTACCTCCGCCACCAGTGTACTTGTCCTCACAGAGAGCCAAAGCCACCCCCCACGCCCCCAGGAGATCCTCCAAGACCAGTAGGGCATTTGTTTACTCACTGCTCACTAGAGGGAGGCCTTTTCCAGATGTATTCCTTTCCAGAGGCTTTGTTCTTCTGCATGGGAAAGGGATTCCTCCAAGGCTACTATTTGGTTTACTGTGCTGAATACCCTGCTGAGGGGTACATAGACATACAGTTTAGCCCTGGTGTCTTCTTATCTATTTTGGTAATGGGAATCAACATTCATAGTGACTGTAACGCCTCCAGCTCAGGAAGCCTAGAAAAAATCATCTACAGGATTCTACAAAGTGGCTTGTTCACGTACACTTCTGGAATCAATTTCCTTTCTGAGATCACTGAATGGATGAGCTATGTCCTGGCCACTTGGTCTCTTCTCAGCACTTATACTTGCATTTTTTTTCTCACTTTCTTTCCTTGGGCTGTGAACCTTTCACCATCACAGGTTCTACCTCAAGATCTTGAGGACTACCCCAAGTCTCAGAAAGCCCTCATTCCATTCATCTTTTAAGGAAACCAAATAAAAAGGGAACACAGCTCCCATGATCCTGTGGAAAACCATAAAGCTGCTGAGACTGTAACTTTTACAGTCCCACTGCATATATGTAAGAGTTGGCCTCTGGAGTTCGGGCAGCTAACCTAAAAATTCTGCAGGGGCCCCCTTCATGTTTCCTCCTACCCTCCCAGGGGGTCTCTGTCCTTTTTCACACAGAGACATCTGCTTCTTAGCCTTTCCTCCTGAAAAGTAAAAAGTTACCTATGTATTTTATCCTTTGGATGATGCAAGTACAGGTGCTTTTATACCTGCTCTGTATCAGTATAAGCTCTATAGTTGAGAAAGTTTTGAGTTGAGGGCAGTGCTTAAAGAATTTATTATAGGTACACATTTGATTAAACTAATCAGCAGAGATTTAAATTCTGAAGCTGCACAGACCCAGAGCAAACCTCCTCCCAAATGAAAACCCACTCACACTTTACTTTTCCATGGTTAAAAGTAAAAGATGGGAAATAATTAAGTAGACTTTTAATAGAGGACCCTCTCTTCATACTGCTGAACAAATGCAACAATGCATTGACTTCATTTAAAATTTCTGCTTTGTCTTAGTGCCTCTGTCTTCCTGAAGATTCCACAATCACTGCTAGAGATATTGAAGGTTAATCCAGAAAGCTGATATGGGTTTTACCAAAGGCCAGGTTTTAATGATCACAAGGAAGAAACGACTCTGGTTGACAACAAAGAGAGGAAAAAAGTGTTTTACAAAATATTGCAAATTCTCATATTCTTAGAAACCATGGAAATATCCAAATAATGAGAGCGCCAAATAAGGAAAATTACCAAATAAGAGCATATGCTGTTTGCCATGACGAGACACATACAATGATGGTGAAGCATCCCAAAAGCACCCAGCAACTTTTCTCTTCTGGAGTTTCTGCATCACAGTCCTCAGGAACTGTTCAGTAAGGCATCCTCTAGTGGTGCCTTGAACTGCAGCTCTCAAAAGTCCCAGGGGCAGAGGTTGAAAACTGCAACCAGAGGGATGCCTCCAGGCAGAAAATGTGCTTTGTTTGGCTCCAACAGTGTTTCACACATAGTTTGGTTTTCTTTTTTATTTTTTTACATTCAAAGTTTCCAAAATTTCAAAATTAGGTTTCTATATTCTCTGGTTTCCTTTAAAAAGTTGGAGGATCTGGGCCTGCAGAGCCCATTAAGAACTGTGACTGATCAGCTGGTTCAGTTCAGTCGCTCAGTCGTGTCCAGCTCTTTGTGAACCCATGAACCACAGCATGCCAGGCCTCCCTATCCATCACCAACTCCCAGAGTCCACCCAAACCCGTGTCTATTGACTCAGTGATGCCATCCAACCATTTTATCCTCTGTCGTCCCCTTCTCCTCCTACCCTCAATCTTTCCCAGCATCATGGTCTTTTCAGCTCTTTGTATTAGGTGGCCAAAGTATTGGAGTTTCAGCTTCCACATCAGTCCTTCCAATGAACACCCAGGACTGATCTCCTTTAGGATGGACTGGTTGGATCTCCTTGCAGTCCAAGGGACTCTCAAGAGTCTTCTCCAACACCACAGTTCAAAAGCATCATTCTTCGGCACTCAGCTTTCCTCACCGTCCAACTCTCACATCCATACATGACCACTGGAAAAACCGTAGCCTTGACTAGACGGACCTCTGTTGGCAAAGTAATGTCTTTGCTTTTTAATATGCTGTCTAGGTTGGTCATAACTTTCCTTTCAAGGAGTAAGCATCTGTTAATTTCATGGCTGCAATCACCATCTGCAGTGATTTTGGAGCCCAGAAAAATAAAGTCAGCCACTGTTTCCCCATCTATTTCCCATAAAGTGATGGGACCGGATGCCATGATCTTAGTTTTCTGAATGTTGAGCTTTAAGCCAACTTTTTCACTCTCCTCTTTCAGCTTTCATCAAGAGGCTCTTTAGTTCCTCTTCACTTTCTGCCATAAGGGTGGTGTCTTCTGCATATCTGAGGTTATTGATATTTCTCCCAGCAATCTTGATTCCAGCTTGTGCTTCTTCCAGCCCAGCATTTCTCACGATGCACTCTGCATATAAGTTAAACAAGCAAGGTGACAATATACAGCCTTGACATACACCTTTTCCTATTTGGCACCAGTCTGTTGTTCCATGTCCAGTTCTAACTGTTGCTTCCTGACCTGCATACAGGTTTCTCAAGAGGCAGGTCAGGTGGCCTGGTATTCCCATCTCTTTCAGAATTTTCCACAGTTTATTATGATCCACACAGTCAAAGGGTTTGGCATGGTCAACAAAGCAGAAATAGATGTTATTCTGGAACTCTCTTGCTTTTTTGATGATCCAGCAGATGTTGGCAATTTGATCTCTGGTTCCTCTGCCTTTTCTAAAACCAGCTTGAATATCTGGAAGTTCATGGTTCACGTACTGCTGAAACCTGGCTTGGAGAATTTTAAGCATCACTACTAGCGTGTGAGATGAGTACATTAGAATTTGCAACCTCTGTAGAGGAGTCAACCTCACATGAAACAGAAAGACATCCCATATACTTGGATTGGAAGAATTAATATTGTTAAAATGGCCATAATACCCAAAGCAATCTACAGATTTAATGTGATCCCTATCAAACTACCCATGACATTTTTCACAGAACTAAAACAAATAATCCTAAAATGTATATGAAACCATAAAATATCCAGAATTGCCAAAGCAATCCTGAGGAAAAAGAACAAAGCAGGAAGCACAACCCTCCCAGACTTCATACAATATTAAGAAGCTACAGTAACCAAAACAAAAATAAACAAATGGAACCTAATTAAACTCAAAAGCTTTTACACAGCCAAGAAGCCATAAACAAAGGAAAAGACTATCCAAAGAATAGGAGAAAATATTTGCAAATAAAATGAATCTCCAAAATATACAAACAGTTCACTCAGATACATATCAAAACAACAAACAACCCTATCAAAAAAATGGGCAGAAGACCTAAATAGAGACTTATCCAAAGAAGGCATACAGATAGCAAAAAGCACATGAAAAGGCACTCAGTACTGCTGATTATTAGAGAAATGCAAATCAACCTACAATAAGGTATCACCTCAGGCCAGTGAGAATGACCATCATCAAGAAGTCTACAAACAGTAAATGATAGAGAGGGTGTGGAGAAAAGGGAACCCTCCTCCACTGTTGGTGGGAATGTAAACTGGTACAGCCACTACGGAGAACAGTATGGTGATTCCTTGAAAAACTAGAAACAGAGCTACCAGATGATCAAGCAATTTCATTCCTGGGCATATATCCAAAAAAATCATACTTTAAAAAGATACATGCACCCCAATGTTTACTGCAGCACTACTTACAATAGCCAAGACATGGAAGCAATCTAAGTGTCCATCAACAGATAAATGGATAAAGATGTGGTATATATACACAATAGACTACTACTCAGCCATAAATATGAACAAAATAATGCTATTGGCAGCAACACAAAAGGACCTAGAGATAATCATACTAAGTGAAGTATGTCAGACAGAGAAAAACAAACATCATATGGTATCACTTATATGTGGAATCTAAAAAAAAAAAGATACAAATGAACTTATATTCAAAACAGACTTACAGACTGGTACTAAGTGAGAAGATCTCAAATGTTTTCACCACAAAGAAGAAATGGTAATTATATGATGTGATGGAGGTATTAACCACCCATCACTTAATGATATGATAGTAGCCATTTTGTAGTATATAAGTATACCAAATCAACAAGTTGCACACCTTAAACTTATACATTATCTATATCTATTATATATATATATATATATCTATTATACAACATTATCAATTATACCTCAATAAAGCTGAGGAGGGGAGAGATGGCCTTGGAAAAAAGGAAGCACTGTAGATATTTATGCCATATATACTTACGTTCCTGCATTTGCATTTGACTGAGAGCTTAGAGAGTTATCCAACTCATTCTCACTTTCTTCTGACTGACTGTTAACAGTTCCTTCTTGTTCATCATCATCTACTTCATTAAGAGCCTTACAATTAAATAACAACATAGACTGGTTACATACACACTTATCTTTTGTTTCTTTTTGTAATAAGAGAAGAGAGGTCCTTCCTTCTAAGGCAAATTCCTCCACACGTGGTCTAGAAACCAAACCCTCTTATCTCTTCTGGTCCATCAATTACCCCTTCTCTTTCCATTTTCAACCTCTCCTTACTAACTTCAGTTCACCCACGTTTAAATGTAAGTCTCTCCCATCTTATCCTGATCCTATACTGACCTTGAGCTATCATTTACCTTGCCTTTTTGTGCCAAAAACTTTTTGAGAGATCCACCCCCACTTCTCATTCACCATATGTACCCTTCAGCTTTGCTTCTGCCCTGCCACTCCGTGTAAACTGTTCTCTACATGGTAAACATCAACACACTTGTTATCAAACCAAATGGGTACTTCTGTCTTTGTCTTCCATTACTTCTCACTCATTAGATATCAATGGCAACTCATTTCTTTCCTTCAAAAATCTTCTTTATAAACTTTTCTTTTTCATTTTGTGATACCATTATTTTCTTGGTTTTTCTTCTTCTTTTAGCCATTCCTTCCCAATCTCATTCATTGGTTCTTTTTCTATCCTTCCCCTCTGTTTAATGTCATTCTCCTCTCACTTGACGCATTTTTGATGTTTACATCTAATTCCAAGGTGCAATTACAAGTCAAATGCTGTTAATTTCCAAACCTCTATCTTCACCCAGGTGTCTCTTGAGCCCTCGACATTAATGTCCAACTGCCTAAAAGATATCTAGAGGAGAACATCCTACACATAAATACCTATCATGTCTAAAATTTATCATTTTCCTAAGCCTCCCTTTTCATTCTTCCAGAAACCTTGTTCCTGCCATATTATTAAGACCATGAACAGCATAACCATCTACTCAGATTCTAAAGCCAGCAGACTGGAAATTATCCTTCTTCTTTACCCACCACATCCAATCAGTCACCGAATCTTGTCAATTCTACCCCTTTTTAAGCTCTCAAATCTATCCCTCTTCCCCTTTACCTCCTTCCCTACTGCCACTGCTTTGGGTCAGTCCTCATCACTTCTCACCAAGATTCCAATCTGAGTCTTTTAACAGGACCCTCTCACCAGGCTTGCCCCTCCCTCCCCAATCCATTTTCCACACTACTGTCAATTTCACCGTAACAGTGCTCTTCTTAAAATCCTTTAGCAGCTCTACTCTTGCTTTCTGGTTCATTAGCCCTTCATGACCCAGCTCCTTCCTTTCTTTCTAACCCTGACTCTTGCTACTTCCCCACCTTCATAACATGATTATCTGAAAGCTAACTTTGTAATAACTACCAAAACATACATACATATCCCTGGCTTTTGGCTAGGGATATGGTTAATGGGCTTTAGCTATTAAAAATATGTACAACATTCTACTTAACTGCCTTTACAAGTAGCAAACAGTATACTTATATGATTCTGGACTTTGTAATTCCCTAGGATCATCCATCTAACTGATGATTCTCTTTTTTTTCATAGAAGATACAAATAACTTAGGAAATTGCATTAAACAGGTACTGAGTCCTGTGTGTGCTTGCTCAGTCACTCAGTCATATCCAACTCTTTGTGACCCTGTGGACTGTAGACCACCAGGCTCCTCTATCCGTGAGACTTTCCAGGCAAGAATACTGCAGTGGGTTGCCATTTCCTCCTTCAGGGGATCTTCCTAACCCAGGGATTGAACTCGTGACTCCTGCACTGGCAAGCAGATTCTTTACCACTGAGCCACCTGGGAAGCCCATGCATATATACGTAAGTCATTCAGTCGTGTCCAACTCTTTGTGACCCCATGGGCTATAGCCCACCGGGCTCCTCCGTCCATGGGATTCTGCAGGCAAGAATACTGGAGTGGATAGCCATTTCCTTCTCCAGGGGATATTCCCGACCCAGGGACTGAACCCTGATCTCTTTACATCTCCTGCACTGGCAGGCGGATTCTTTACCTGGGAAGCCTATAGTCACTCATAAAAAGTTGATTTATTTTACTAGTAAATTTTTCATAGCCTTTAAAAAATGTTTCCTATCTCAAAATTCTAAAGATTTTAATAAAGAATTCTGATTAAGTTAAGATACAGCTAGTTAATGTTTTATTACTATGCTTTTCCCATGTAACTAGTAAATAAATTCTAAGTTTCTTGGGTAGCTGCTTTTTAAACATACTAATACATTAGATGGAGAAAGAAATGGCAACCCACTCCAGTATTCTTGCCTGGAGAATCCCATGGATGGGGGAGCCTTGCAGGCTACAGTCCATGGGGTCACAAAGAGTCGGACACGACTGAGCGACTAAATAACAATAATACATTCGAAGGGACAAAGATTTAATGAAGAACTAGCATCTGGTTTTATGCTAGACACTTTATATAACCTATCTCAGCTAATCCTCACAACAACCACAGCAGGTATACTCTATTTCCATTTAACAATAAACACTGAGTCAACTTAGATACTTGAGAAATCAACTCAATATCAAACAGCTAGCAAGTAACAGGACATGAATATCGATTCACCAGAGTCTGTAGTGGGACACAGACTCATTGCTGTTTCCATATTTGTAGATCATGGCACAATCTTATAGCACCAGCCTAGATTTGAGTGCCATCTCTCATGCTAACAAGCTTGAGAGTGCCATCTCTCAAGCTATGTAAGCTTGGGCAAGTCACTTAATTTTTCTGAGTTTCAGTTTTGTCATCTGCTAAATGGGGATAATAATAGTAACTACCTCCAAGGTAATCACTCAATATAGGTTAGCTACTATTCTCCAGTCCTATCTTGAAAGGGCGACATGCTTGAGTAAGAATATTTCTAGCAACCACATCTCGGTATTTTGATATTAAAGCTTTTGAAATGTTTACCACAATACCTATCTACATCAACTTAATTTTAGCATGAGCATTATGGCTGTGAGCAAAGCACATTACCTGAGGCTCTATAACAGATTCGCTACGGATGGTCTGGGTGACAGGGTCCTGACTGACCACAATGGGACCTTTAGAGGACTCCGGAGCCATTGTTACATTCAGAAATCCTGCAGAAGGAAAATGAGCCATGATGATTTTGTTTCATTTAAACTGACTTCACATGCACTCTACACTGCCATAAGTGAATCATCATACGAAAATTTTTAATAATAGCAACTCACATTTATTATAACATGACACCTAAAGGAAGACTTTAAATTCTTTCAAATAGCCAGGTGTGGGCTGTGGTTAATAAGATAAAGAAACTTTTGTTTGACATGAATAGTTTACCTGTGCGCCTGTGAGGAAAATCAACAAACAGATCCTTTGCTGTAACCATCAAATGATCAGATTTTTCCAATACATCCTGCAGCTGGTATTGATCAGAAAGAATCTAGACGTGTTAATGATAAACATTATTATTCAGGAAAATATATATATATACACACTTATATACTCAACAAATCACAAAGGAAAAGCCTGTTCAGGAGCAGAAAAATCATCTAAAATCCTCAATGGCAGTATTGTTAAGTACCAGTAGATGGGGCTATTACAACAATTTGTTGTTGTTTAGTCACTAAGTAAAATTGCTCGGTCCTGTCTGACTCTTTGCGAACCCGTGGACTGCAGCCCATCAGGCTCCTCTGTTCATGGGATTTCCCAAACAAGAATATTAGAGTGAGTTGCCATTTCCTACTCCAGAGGATCTTCCCAACCCAGGGATCGAACCCACGTCTCCTGCATTGGCAGGCAGATTCTATACCACTGAGCCACTACAATAATTAGTGGATTTTAAATGCTTGGCTTCAACCCAAAGAAATGCATTATTAAAGTATGACCCAGTCTACACACAAATGTAAAGGTAAATGTAAATATACACCAAATAAAAGTTTTCCTTAACCTTACTCTTTGAGAACCACTCTTATACTTTCTTTTTATTTTCTATTTTTCAAAAGATGGTTTTAATCCACTAACTCCATTTTATAATCCATAAACAAGTTGTGATCCACAGTTGAGAACTCAGTAAACATATGAATCTTTGAGCCATAAACTCAGATGTGTGAATCGTTAGTGCTTCAACCACTAGTGATTTCATAATCCACTAATGGGTCATGACTCACAACTTAAAAAACACAATGTTAGACATGAGTTTGGGGCAATAAACAAAAAAGCGATGCTTCTGCATTTGTAAACAAGCTGGTTTGCTTTTTTTTTTAGACACGCCATTTTTATTTATTTTTTTATTTTGTACTAGAGTATAACCAATTAACAATGTTGTTTCAGGTAGAGAGCAAAGGGACTCAGTCACACATACACATGTATCCATTCTCCTCCAGTTTTTATCCTGGAAAAATGAGAACTCAAAAAATACCATTACAGCAGAGTCTCTGATCATGTACTTTCAACTTAGGAACTTTCCTAATTACAAGCAAGGATGCACAGAATAGAGTAAAAGAAGTGAACTCTACCCACCACCACCAGATGGCATTCTTAGGTTGAAAGGAGTTTCAAAACTGGAAACTGCCCAGTTTCCAACACTGATTCAAATCAAAACATCTGGGGAAAAATGCTCTTACCAGAATTTCTCTGAACCATGAAAACAAGTATATAATATGACCTTGGTTATTGTTTTCTGACATGAAGAAAAATAACGAGTCACATTATTTTTCCCCTTCTTCCCCTGCTAAAGCCAAGCAGGTTGGCTGGCTCAAGATGGTGAGAATAAAGTCCTAAATCTGTCTTCCCACAAAGAGTAAGCTTTGGAATGGCATAATGCAAAGAGCACATTTGGAGTCAGAAGACTGGCATCCTAGGCCCAGTCAAGAGATACCAAGCAAAATCCAACCTCTTTAAACTTAGTTTCCTGATATATAAATGAAGTACAACCACTTCCCCAACACACATGGTGTTATAAGGTTGCTAACACACTGCAAATCTGTCTACAACTCCGGATATCTGAGAACATGGTTACAACTTAAATTTCCATCCCTGGTTAGCCATCTTGCAGTACATGCAATAAGAGTAATATACATGTAGCATTACATGTTACATTACATTATACATTACATTATAATCTACCACTTATACTAGAAAAAATTATACAAGGTATATTTCTTAATGGCAGTTTTAAAAGTTTACTGTTTTAATTTTTTTAAAAGGCACTGACCTCCTATCAAATTAAAGAAACATAAATTGTCAGAAGCAGATTGTTGAGGAATAACATATCAAGACCTGATATGCTCAACATCGCTAATTATTAGAGAAATGCAAATAAAACTATGATGAGGGAATACCTCACACCAGTCAGAATAGCTACCATCAAAAAATCTACAAATAATAAATGCTGAAGAGGGGGTGGAAAAAAGGGAACCCTCCTACACTGTTGGTGGGAATGTAAACTGGTGCAGCCACTGTGGAGAACAGTATGGAGGTTCCTTAAAACAGGGGTCCCCAGCCTCTGGGATCTAATGCCTGGTAATCTGAGGTGGCGCCGATGCAATAATAACAGAAATGAAGTGCACAATAAATATAATGTTCTTGAATTATCCCGAAAACATTCCCCCACCCCTGGTCTGTGGAAAAATGGTCTTACATGAAACCAGTCCCTGGTGCCAAAAGGTTGGGGACTGCAATCTTAAAAAACTAGAAACAGAGCTACCATATCATCCAGCAATCCCACTCCTGGGCATATTTCCAGAGTAGATGAAAACTCTTAATTCAAAAAGATACATGCACCCCAATGTTCATATACATGCATAACAATAACTTTGCTGTACACATGAAACCAACACAGCATTATAAATCAACTATATTTCAATTTAAAGAGTTGTTTTAAGACCTGATGTTAATTATAATGAGGTCTCCAGTAAATCCACTGTCCTGAAGCCCTCTCTCTGCTGATCCCTGCACAGGATCCTGGTGGCAGATGGTTTCAGTGGCCAGAGGTCAGTGCAATGGTTTTCTCTTGCTCTTTCTGGATTTCTTTACCACTTCTCTATGATAAAACTCACCCTTATGATAGGAAAATCAATCTCTGCAGGCCCATCTGTATATATTACTCCCCCAGATGGGTTTGCAGAGCACAAAGCCAAACTTATGAGTGGTACTAATAGAACATATCTTGGACTTTCAAAAGATAAAAGTCCCTTAAAAAACAGTATTGGAAACTTCTCATGCTAACAGTTTTGTTCTCTGGTAATAAAAACCAGACAGCACTGGGAAAATTTAAGGAGACTATAAGTTAGTTACTATACTGTTGGAATGATTAAAATCCTCATCAAAGCCTTGCTGTCTCTGATTTGGGTTTGGACCCTTGCTTGCTTGATTCCCACAGCATGGGTGCATCATACAGCAAATGAAATCTAAAATTACACTGGTCAAAGAACTTTTCTCTTAATTTAGGTTGATCTAGGAGCCCAGTTTCTTGGGGATGGGTGCTGGTAGCTCTAACACATCATGATGACACCCAGGTGGATATGCCCAAGGAGGCCTCTTCGGTTGATCCCTGACATCCCTTATCAGACATAATACAGCAACACTGAAATAATAGATGTATGTATCCTTTGACTCAGCAATTCCACTTTCAAGAATTTATCCTACAAATCTATTTATGCATGCATGCCAGGCTAAGTCGCTTCAGTCATGTCTGATTCTGTGAGACCCTATGGTCTCATAGGAGCCGCGAGGCTCCTCTGTCAATGGGATTCTCCAGGCAAGAATACTGGAGTGGGTTGCCATGCCCTCCTCCAGGGGATCTTCCTGACCCAGGGATCAAACCCACATCTCTTATGTCTCCTGCATTGGCAGGCGAGTTCCTTCCCACTAGAGGCACCTGGGAAGCCCCAAATATATTTATTTATACATGTACTCAAAAACATATTCAAGGATATTCATTACATTATTTCCATGACAAGGCAGGAAATAATCTGTGGGTGACAGACACACTACTTACCCATCAATACCCTTTCTTTCCATTTTCTCAACAGGGAAACTCCCAAGTTAGCCAGGTACACAGCTAATTTCCCAACCACCCTCATAGGTGAGAACGGTCACTTGATGAAGTTTTGGAAAACGGATAGAAGCCAGAGCTTCTGGGTGATGCATAAAAGGAGCAGCATGTACTATCTTACCCTTTTCCTGCTGCCTGGGAAACAGCTCAAGGAAGCAGGAACAACCACTCTGCAGTCAGACATGGATGCCCTGTAATAAAGGACTGGAGAGCTCTCTACCAACTACCATGTGCCTCTGAGTTGTTCCATACGAGAGGAACAGATTTCTATTTTGTTTAAACCACTATATTCTAGGCCCTTTTTTTTCCCAGCTGCTGTACCATAGTCTAACACACATCCCAAATGTCCACCAATAAGGCACTAGATAAATATATTGTGGTGCATCCATATACAACCTCGCCAATAAAAAGAAAAGGTATATTTCTAAACACTAATACAGCAAAACCTTCAAAATATGTTATTAAGTGGAAATGTCTAAATCCCACTAATAGCAGAGGCTTTCAACCCTAGTGAAATGTTAAAAATTACATAGCAACAGTCTAAAAAATACCTAAGAAGGGCCACATCCCAGATCCACTGAGCCAGAATATCCAAGTATAAGTATGTCTGAATCCAGATACTGCTTTTTGAATGGGAATTTTTTTTAATGGAAATTAGAATCAGGGTTGAGAAACATTACATGAGAATATGAGGAAGCAGCATTACAGAGAGAAGGCAAAGAAACTTCAGTCACCCTCTCTGATCACTCCTCTTCAACCCCTAATTCTACCACATCTACTCGGTATAAGAGATTCGGGACATGAGCAGGGACCACTAGGGAGGGGAAACAAAAGCCCAGTCACCTCAAAGTGACTTTTGGGTGACTCAAAGTCATCCTTTTCCCTGGCCAGATCTGTGTTCTTAGCTCTTTCACGGAGAATTACCACATAATATTCAAAAGCACATGACTTATCTAAGATCACTAAAAGATACATACCTCTAAAGAATCATTCTCTCTCAATCCATTGTTCTTTTTACAAGCTTGTCTGAGCATTTATTTGGGAGATATAATTCTTCTCATGTTATAGAAAGTCAAGACGTTCATATTTCACTAGGAAGCCTAACAAATTCCTCAAAAGACAGAATGTGACTTGAAGCTACAGTAGGTCACCCAGACAGACAAGTGTCATAAGCTCCAACACTGAATAAGAAGAAAAAGGGCATTTCTTTTACAATGATTTCAGCCCAAATAAAAAGGGTTTTCTTCTGTAGTTTCTTCTTATTTTCCATATTGCTTATTCCTGCACACGATTACTTATTCAAACACCCTACATCTGGCAAAAGATTAAACCAAATAAAAGCAACTGACAAGCACACTTTTTTTTTTGCAAAGTAATTTAACAGCATGGCTGTTGAACCGAAAAAAACAATTATAGCAGCCTAAGTATGTATATAGCACTAATTATGTGCCAAGGACCATACTATTCACTTTATTAGTATTTTATCATTGAAGTCTCATAATAATACAAGCAGGCAAGTAGTGTTATTCCAGTTTGAAATAAGGAAATTCAGGCTGAGAAGTCAGTAATTTAAGGTCACATGGCTAGTAACCATGTGAGCTAGTAAGAAAATTTTGACTGTGACAATAAGTTCTTTGCTCCTAAAACATTCATTCAAATATACAGCTAGTAAGCTGTAGAGCAGGAATTCAAACTATGAAACTAGACTGTAATCCTCACTCTGCTCCTTTATCCCAAGACCACCTGTACATCACTGTGTGCCGATGTGAGTGCTCAGTCATTAAATCATACCCAACTCTTTGCAACCCCATGGACTGTAACCTGCCAGGATCCTTTGTCCATGTGATTTTCCAGGCAAGAATACTAGAGTGGGTTGCATTCCCTTCTCCAGGGAGATCACTGTATAAGGACATGACAATGATTAAAGTCTCTCCAACGTCAATAGATATGAGGGGAAAGAGAGACACCTACTTTCCTTTTTTTCGCTTTCTAACTCTGTGGATAATACAGTTTATCATTACCTCCTTCATGATAGACAATCTCCTTTTCTCCAGATTAGAAATTTCTGGTTTTCGCTTCTTCCATTTCCTCTTCAAAGCTTTTTCTTGGAGCTCCCAGTGGACCAATGCTCTATTCTTTGATTTGTGTATTTCATGACGACGGATCTATATAGAAGAAAAAATATATGAAAGAATGTTTCAGGAACGAAGAACTTATATTCACAATCAAAATTTTCACCAACTCCTAAATTTTCAAAAATGATTTTTTAAAAAAGAAGTATCTAAAACTAGTAGACCTAGAAAATTCCCTGGTGGCCCAGTAGGTAGGATTCCAGGCTTTCAACTGTTATGGCCCAGGTTCAATCCCTGGTCGGGAACTTAGATTCCACAAGCCACAGGGTGTGGCCAAAAAATAAAATAATAAAACAAGCCAGTAGACAAAATAACATGTCCTCTGGGCTTTGCTTTAAAATGCTTCAGTGAAGAAGTAAGGGGTATGATAAATGAAACAACTATGGCAAAATTTTCACAACTATTATATCTAGGTGAACAGTATATGGTAGTTCTTTTTACTTTTGTCTCTAATTTCACGAGTTTGAAATTTTTCATAATACAGAATTATAAGTCAGTTGGGCATCATTATTATCCTCAACAAACATTTAATAAGTACCTACTATGATTAAGATTCCTAGGCCCACAAAGACATATAAGATATGGCCTTTATCCATCAAAAAACATTAATAATATGCCTAGAGAGATTGGACATATACATATAAAGATAAATGCCATGCATAGATGACATATAGTCAATGTCTTATGTAGCTGGTAAGTACAACAGTTCAGAGATGAAAGTAACTGTTGGGCAGCTTCAAAGAGTAAGACTTCAAACTTGCTACGAAACTCAAGAGAGTATCACACTAGCATAAGGATACACAAAGATCTATGGAATATAAATTTGAGTCCAAAATAAACCCTCATATTTATAGACAAGTGACTTTCAACAAGGGTGCCAAGACAATTTAGTGTGAAAAGAACAGTCTTTGTAATGGTGCTTAGACAACTGGATATCCATTTGCAAAAGAATGAAGCTGGACTCCTACCTCACACCTTACACAAAAATTAACTCAAAATGGATGAAACATAAGAGCTAAAACTTTGAAACTCCTAAACAAAAACACAGAAGTAAATATCTGTGAACTATGGTTAGACAATGATTTCTTAGATATGACACTAAAGATACAAGTGACTAAAAAAATAGATAAACTAGACTTCATAAAATTTACAACTTTTATGTTTCAAAGGATACCATCAAGAAAGCAAAAACACAACCAACAGAATGGAAGAAAACATTTGCAAATCATATATCTGATAAGAAACATCAAGAATATATAAAGAACTCCTATTACTCAATAAAAACACAAATAATCCAATTTTACTTTTATTTTATATTTTATATCCCTCTCTTCACTAAGCCCAGTTCATAGTTGTCACATATTTCCTCTGACAATTTTTAAATAGTTAAGGGATTTGAACAGACATTTCTCCAAAGAAGATACTACAAATGGTCAATAAGTATATATAAAGGACACTCAACATCATTAGTCATTAGGGAAATCCAAACTGAAACCACAATGAGATTCCATTTTATACCCTCTAAGTTAACTAAAACCACAAAGATGATAATGACAAATATCAGCAAGGGATATGGAACAAATGGAACCCCCATACATGCTAATGAGAATGTAAATAGGACAGACACTTTGGAAAATAGTTTGGCAGTTCCTCAGAAAGTTAAATATAGAAATATTATATGACTCAGAATTCTACTTCCAGGTATACACTCAAGAGACTAAAAGTATATGTTCACACAAAAACTTATACATGCATATTCATAGCAGCATTATTTGTAACAGTCAAAAAAAATGAAAACAACCCCAATGTCCAACAACTGATGATAAATAAAACATGGTATGTCCATAAATGAAATAGCATTTGGCAATAAAAAGGAATGAAATACTGATACATGCTATAATATAGATGAAACTTGAAAACATTACGCTAAAAGAAAGAAGCCAGATATAAAGGGAAACATATTATATTGCATGTATATGAAATACCCAGAATAGGCAAATCCATAGACAAAACAGATTAATTGTTGCCAGGGATTGGAGGCGCATGGCTCAGAAAGTGACTGTTAATGGGTGAAGGGTTACTTTGGGGAGGGAGTGATGAAAATATTTCAAAATTAGAAAGTGATGATGGTTGCATAACTCTGTGAATATGCTAAAAAGCAATGAATCACACACTTTAAAAGAGTAGATTTTATGTTACGTGAATTACATCTTAATAAAGCTGTTTAAAAAATAACAAATCTATAGTAGAAACTTTTTAAAGTAAAACCTGAACTAGGATAAAGAAGCAAAGTAAGATTTGAACAAGAGGAGAAGAAAGTAGGGAAATCACTCCAAATAAATAGAATAGCATGACCTGGGGCTCGAATGTGGAAATATACATGGCATGTTCAAGGAATAAATTACTATGTATGTTTGAATATGGAAGTAATGGTGAATAATGCTAGTGTATCTACAGATAGGAAAAAATGATAAATGTGGACAGGACAATACTGGACTTAGATCTGAACTGTAAACTGAACCTATCTAATGAAATTCTAATACATGCTAATTATTATTCCTAAATAAAATAAGGCAGCCAAGGACATACACTTTTTGATTCTATATAGACGTAAGTAAGATTAAAAATAACTGAACAACTTGCAAGATGCCTTCTATTCTGTAAGTTAAAAACCAAGTATCAAGTAAGACATTGAACAAATGACTTAACTTTCCATAGTAAACTTACCAGATCTTCAGGAGTTGCCCGATGAACTGTCAGATCAGTCATAGTGTTCTGCAAAAAAAAGATGAACTTTCTTTAAAATGCAAAAGGTTTCTTACAAAATAGTACTACATGCTGGATTTTAATGGCTGAAAATGGATTCAAAGTCCTAAGACCAAAGAGTCTTTGAGAATTAAATTCTCAACTTAAAATTAACATGGATTACTTTTAGTTGTCGTAAAGAAAATAACAACTATTAAGTGTTTCAGAGAAATTAAGCACTAAATTCAACAAGCAGGCATACATCATTTTAAAACAAAAAATAAAACAGGGTAGCATGTAATTCAAAATAGGTTAGTTTAAGTAAAGTTATAGTTTTCAAACTATATTCCATGGAACAAGGCAACACTAAAGATTCCTACAAGATAAAAGTGTGCTCAAGAGAGGTTCAATTTGTGTCCATGCCAACACTTTAAACATAGATCCTATCATAACAAGAGATGAATTTTGAGGGTACTGTGTAACTTCATAAGTTATGAAAGGACAGAGAGGCCTAGCATGCTGCAGTCCATGGGGTGGCAAAGAGTCAGACACAATTTGGCAGCTGAACAACAACATATCTTCATTAAATGTGAAAACAGTCATTCAAGTAAAAAGGCAACAAAACAACATGGCAGGGCTTCCACACTGCACAATTCCAGGAGGCTCTGTCAATATCCTAGCCCATGTAAACAGCACCCATTGGAACTCTGCAGTGCACAGCCTGCACAGCTCCAAGTAGCAGCCTCACAATCTGGCCCTTTCCAAAATGACTTCAGACATTGTGTTTGGTAAGGCAGGAAACAAAGCAATGTAGTTTTAATTCCAAGAGAAATATAGAGAACTGAGTCTAGTGAAAAACTTCTGATATACTCCAAGACCTTACTTTTGCACCACAGGTAATATTTAGCTCAAGTCTTTTATATACTAAAGCCATTATCTTTTCACAATGATTTAGCAAAATACAAGGTACAATAAGATCATGAGGATTATTTTTAATAACCAATAAAAATTCAGGTATATAATGGTATGCTTAGAATTATTTTCATGGGAGAAAATATAATTTCATTAATACTATTATTGCTTAAAACTACAGTTGACTCTTGAACAATGTAGGGCTTTTTTAATTTATTTTTAATTGGAGGATAATTACTTTACAATGTTTTGTTGGTTTTTGCCATACATCAACATGAATCAGCCACAGGAATACATATGTCCCCTCCTTCTTAAAGCTCCCTCCTACCTCCCACCCCATCCTACCTCTCTAGGTTGTCACAGAGCACCAGGTTGAGCTCCTTTTGTCATACAGAAAATTCCACTGGCTATCTGTTTTACATATGGTAATGTATATATTTCAATGCTATTCTCTCAGTTTATCCCACCCTCTCCTCCCCGCACTGTGTCCAGAAGTCTATTCTCTATGTCTGCATCTCTACTGCTGCCCTACAAGTGGTTCATCAGTACCATTTTTCTAGATTTTATATATATATATGTTAATATACAATATTTGTTTTTCTCTTTCTTACTTCACTCTGTGTAATAGGCTTTAGGTTCATCCACCTCACTAGAATTGACTCAAATTCATTCCTTTTTTATGGCTGAATAATATTCCATTGTATATATGTGAACAACATGAGTTTCAACTATACAGGTCCACTTATAAATGTGGATTTCTTTTTAATAAATACATACGAAAGTGCTAAAAGATCCACATTTGGTTGCATCCATGGATGCAGAACCACAGATCTTGAGGGCCAACTGTAAAGTTAGATGTGGATTTTCAACTGTGCACAGAGTCACTGCCCTTAACCCCATGATGTTCAAGGATCAAGAGTATTTTCTCCTGAAATTGCCTTTAAATCTAATTTACAAGCTATTTCAGAAAACATCTCAATATTTTCACCACAACAGTTTTATTCAGTTCATCTCTCCTCTCTCATTTACCATTCACACCAAAAGACCTATAACTACTTTCAAGTTCAAAAAACAAAGTTTCTTTCAGTACTGGAGAGAATACAAAGTAAATGAGGAAGGTTCTGAATGCAATTTCAAATGATGGCTTTTAATTATACTTTGAGAAACAGCAGCATATCAAATTAAATATGGAATTTCCCAAAGTAACCACTCAGAAGGGGATAGCTTTACATTATCTATGCTATTTTTCCCTTTTTAATCAGTTTCATTACCTTAGAGTCACATCCTTCTACTATTTTACAACCAGATGACAACAAAGCAATCTAAACAAAGAGAAATCCATCTCTCCCGCTTTCTAAGGCTGTCAGTTTTCCCAGGAGCTGTGGCTAGAGTGATTGGCTACAACCCAGAATATTCTAATTCCAAAAGAATCCCTAAGATGCATACTAGTCCCTGACCAGTCACTCTCCACAAAAGAAAGTAAAAGCACCTAAAGTCTCATGTCTAAATCAAAGAACCAGACTCCAAAAGAGAAAATCCCCTTGATAATACCACATGGTACTCAGGGATCATGCCTCAGGTGCCTGAGGCTTGTCTTGTATCTTATGAGAATCTTTGTACTGAAACTGACCAGTCTCTGGAAGTGAGAAAAAAACAATTTGATAATAGAGCAAGGACTACCCAGTTTTTTCAGTCATAAATACCAATCCCATGATTATGGTATCACATGTTGCTATGGGCAAATCTAAAATATGTTCCAAAAAATTTCACACTTCAGGCTAACTAGAGTTGTCTTAAAACAGTGACATAAGTTAGCTAAGAGTTGCCTTAAAGCAGTGAGTTCTCAAAGTGGAGGTAGGGGGACTTTTTAAAAACACACCCCCCACTCCTTTAAGATTTCAGTTCTTCAAAGGAGGTGGAAGTTATAGCCTCAACATATGTATTCTTTAAAAACTCCCCAAAGGCATCTGCTCTTCCCTCTAAGACCTAGGCTATCACATGCCCAGAAACATATTCCACTGTACTGCATGCTACCCCATTCAGAGAATCATCCTGAGTGCCTAGGGTCATGTCATCATGTCTGTTCCTTCCATGTAATGTTATGTGTGTTAGTCATTCAGTAGTGTCTGACTCTTTTGTGACCCCATGGACTGTAGAACACCAGACTCCTCTGTCCATGGAATTCTCCAGGCAAGAATACTGGAGTGGGTTGCCACTCCCTTCTCCAGGGGATCTTCCTGACCCAGGGATAGAACCCGGGTCTCCCACATTGCAGGCAGACTCTTTACCAACTGAGCCACCAGGGAAAACCACATATTATTCTTCCTAGACTTACATCCCATTCTTGCTTCACAGATGTTTTCTTCTTTACTTTCAGTGTTTTCCTTCCTCCTCCACGGGGACCATAACGGTTCACTCGGACAAAAGACATCTAGGAGTAATAATCATATCAATTTTTTTAAATGCATGAAAAACTAATAATTAATCATCACCAGAGAGGGAAAATTATATCTAGGAAAATAAATTTTAAAACATCAGAAGACATATTTAAGCATAATGAAAGAAATAGGCTACCAAAAGACTTGGCTCATTCCCTTCACAGTTATTAGAATGCTGACACTGATAACTATTATAAAATTTATGTATGTTATCATATGATAACTATGATAACAAGTCAACAAATTAAATATTATGTGACTAACAAAGACCTCCAGGAATGCAGCAGTTATGATCTAAAGCAGAGATTTTAGAACAACAGTCATAAGCTTTGTCGCCCTTTACACAAATTCGCAATGAACAGAGGAAATGTCAGTTCCATGTGAACAATATGAATGTAGGAGGAGAGCAAGAGATAGCTGGGGTTCGTTTTGAAGCATCTAACACTCTAAATCACTACTAGGCACATGTGTATTTACCTTAAAATAAAGGTGGCTAAATTTTGGAGAATGAATGAGTTATGATACCATCCCTAGTACATTTTTCACATAATACTAAATGGGTGTGATTATTGATACTAAGCTAGAATCTGAAAACTGCCAACAGTTGCTTGCCACTCTTAAAATAGCAATGCTAAGGGCACTAGACTAAACATTATACAAAATTAGAAAAAGACTCACACTGCCTGAAGGATTGGAGAACACATACACATCTCTCCAAAGAGATTCTTAGTCCCTTTCACCTTGTGAGGAAACAGCAAGAAGGGGCTTGCTGTGAATCACAAGGAGGACCCTCACCAGAACATGATCATTCTCACGCCTTGATCTTGGACTTCCCAGACTCCAGAACTATGCAAAATAAATTCCTGTTATTTATAAGCTACTCAGTCTCCAACATTTTGTTAAAGCAGCCTGAATGGACTAAGACAGTAAATATCTATTGCCTTTTTCTCCCACCTTAATTTAGCCTAGCAAAGCAGGCTGTGATCATTCTAAGATGACTCCCAATGAGTTGTGTGCGTGCCTGGTCGCTCAGTCATATCCAACTCTTTGCAACCCCATGGACTGTAGCCTGCCAGGTTCCTCTGTCCATGGAATTTTCCAGGCAAGAAAACTGAAGTGGGTTGCCACTTCCTCCTCCTGACCCAGGGATTGAACCTGCTTGTGTTCCTGGATTAGGAGGCAGATTCTTTACCACTGTACCACCTGGGAAGCCCCAATGAGTTGGGGCTACAATTCCCTCTCCATGAGTTTGGGCAAGACCTATGACTATCTTTTTGAGTCTGTTTTGCTTTTCCCCCTGTGACTTGTTTTATCCAACAAAATAAGGCAAATGTGGACATGTCATTCCTGTGATTATGTTATAAAAGTCTCTCTCCTAGGAAAATAGAACAGAAGAAATCTCTCCTGCTGGCCCTGAAGAAACAAACTGCCATGCTGTGACACTCGATGAAAAAGGCATGTGTCAAGGAACTCCGAGAGCTGTGGGCAGCCTCCAGCAGAAAGTTGGTCAGAAGTTGAGAACTCACAAAGCCCCAGAGAAATGAATCTGCCAACCTAAGTGAACTGAGCCTAGAGCAGATTTTTCCCAAGTTGAACCTCCAAATGAGAATGCAGACTCCAACACTTTAATCACAGTATTTAGCTAAGGTATGGATACTGTGAGATAATAAATGTGTGCTGTTTTAAACCACTGAGGTTGTGATAATTTGTTATTCAGCATAGAAAATGTACATAATCATGTATGGATATGAGAGTTGGACCATAAAGAAGGCTGAGCACTGAAGAATTGATGCTTTCAAACTGTGGTGCTGGAAAAGACTCTTGAGCAAAGAGATCAAACCAATCTGAAAGAAAATCAACCCTGAATATGCACTGGAAGGACTATGCTGAAGCTCCAATATTTTAGCCACCTGATGTGAAGAGCCGACTCACTGGAAAAGACCCTGATGCTGGGAAAGACTGAGGGCAAAAGGAGAAGGGGGGGTAACAGAGGATGAGATGGTTGGATGGCATCATCAATTCAATGGACATGAGTTTGAGCAAACTCTGGGAGATAGTGAAGGACAGGGAAGCCTAGAATGCTGGGGTCATAAAGAATCAGACATGACTGAGCGACTGAAAAATGAACAGAAAATGAAAGCACTGGCCAACTCTAAAATCCAGCCTGTGAATGGTTAAGTTCACCACAGTATAACGAAGCTGCTGTCCCATCTCTGACTTTCCCTTCACCAACCAACTTCATGAAGGCGAAGCCTGTTTCAGCACTAGGATTTACTAAATCCCAGTTCACTTCAAACTTTTACAACACAGGGAACTACTTATGTGCTGAAAAGTATTCTCCTGAACATTACCAATAATTGACCAAGGATCAGACTTTGTGGTCTAAGAAAGGGATTCTGTGCCACTTACAGATACCAGGTATCATAAGGAGCTATAGGTTACATGCTGAAAATGTGAAACTACAGAGATAGGCTAATGGTTTACAGGGCTAACAAGTCAAATAACAAAATTAGCATAGATATTAATTAAAATTAGCATAGAAAATCTGGGTTGGGTTTCTTTGGAGAAAATCTAAAAACTAATAGCTTCCTAATTGCTAAAATTATTGGTCCCTATTCTCTGGCCTATTGGTTTCCTATTTCTCTGGCCCTTTCCATCTCTACAGATGCCCACTCCTGGAGCCTTGCCCCTCTTTTAGCTTCCATGACACACTTCCTCCTGGTTTCTCTCCTATTCTTTTTTCTTTTTCTTCACAGGCTCTGTAGGACCTCTTCACATTTTATGTAATCAAGGATCTTCACTCAGTTCTATGTCAGTCTTCTCTTCCTTCCATCAGACACCCTCTCTCTATGTCCAAGAATTGTTTTTGAGAGTCTACACATGCCAGGCCCTGGCTGGACACTGGAGACACAATAATAAATGAGTTTAATACGGTGTCAGTTCTCATGGAGCTTACTTTCTAGATCACCAAAAGGGGGTTCACATCTTCCCTCAGAAATCTCACCTACACCCTTGAGCAAAGCTATCAATGCACTGTGTACACAAATGCACTGTGAAAATGAGTCTCAAATCAAAGAGTCACACCTTTCCTCAAACCCCTAAAGCTTGTTTCTAACCTGGCTTCTGTGCACATCTCCCAAATATCTCAAATACAATATGGCCAATATACAGCTTAGCATTCATGCCACCTCCCCACCAATCTCTAGTTCTTGATATATAACTGGCTTGGTCAGTAAACGCTGCTGAATAATGCTGAACTACAGAATTACCATCCTTCTAGTTGCTCCAGTTTAAAACCTTAGCATCACCTTCCTGTCTCAAAGCTAATCAGATACCAGAATCTATTCATTCTTTCCCTCCAGTATCTCTCTCATGTCCCCTCTTCTTCATCTCTACCATGAATGCATTTTACATGTTCTCATTATTTCTAATTGATTTTCCTTTCACACATTCTGTCACCCACTTCATCATCCATCTATTACTCCAACAAGTATTTTGAAAGCACCTGCCAAGAGCCAGGCAACAGAGACAGCAAGGAAGTAGAATAACTGTGGACTCTAACAGAACTTAGAGTGTCAGACCACAATTAAATGAGCAATTGCAATAAAAGGCTAATGTTGGGAGGAAATTCAGTGCCAAACAAACACCTAAAGAGTGTCAGACCACAATTAAATGAGCAATTGCAATAAAAGGCTAATGTTGGAAGGAAATTCAGTGCCAAACAAATACCTAACTTACTGTTAATAGTGAGAAAAGGCCACCTCCTTCAACTCCCCTAAAACTGTTTAAGCTGAGAGCAGAACTATGAATAGAAGTTAGACGTGGGGGAAAGAATGCTACAGGTTGGGGGCGGGGGAGTGCATTTACAAAGGGTTTGAGTGGTTCTATTTGACTAACAAATATTTGAGAGGGTTAGAAAGAGGACGAAGAGAAAGGCAGAGGCCAGAACGTGGCCCTGAGCCCCACAGCAATTTGAACACAATCCTAAAGACATTCAGGAAACACTGAAAGATTTTAAGCAGGGTCAATTATGATGGGATTTAGCCAACCCACTCTGGCTAGTGGGAAACTGATCAAAGGGAAACAAGACTTCTTTTCGAACACTGTCCCTCCAGTCATTCCTACCCAGATATACAGATAGAGTTTAGCTCTCCACACTTCACTACCTTCCTCAAAAGATTTTAACAGCTCTCCCCTGCAGAGAGGAATCCAACTCAGCTTGGCGCTCAGGCCCTTTCCTCGCTCCGGGTGGCCTGGCTGACTTTTCCTTGCAGTCTTTTCTCCTCTCACTTCTCCCACACATCCTAAAACAAAGCTCTCATCTTCGTATACCGTCCCAGCCTCTCAAGCTCAGCTTTGAACACCTGTCACACTTGCACTCCCTTTCCACGGGGTTAACTCTCACTCACTCTTCAGAACTCATTCAGGGGGACCCTCCTGACAAACCCTTTCGACTTAAACGATCCGCCGTGTCCCCAAGTACTCTGGGGAGTTGATCTCTCTCCTGCGTGATCGGAAATTCCTTGAAAAATACATTACGGCACATCAATCTCCAGCTCTATACAGAAGTGACCGAAAGCAAAGCGCAGGCGCACACTCAGGATGCTCTCACACGTAGTGCGCTAGACACAAACACACCCAGACACGCATCCTAACAGGCACATGCACTCGCAAAACACATGGAGTCGCAGGTTCATTTTGTATTAAGGATCTTCAACCCAGACGCCTGAAACCCCAGGAAACAGAGAGGAAGACGCCACCACCACTCGCCCCGCCCTGTAGCCCGGGTTCCTAAGACCCCGTGGGGCTGCACGCCTCCGCCCCATCATTGCAACCTGCCTTGTCGTTTCCCGACAGCTGCCTCCACCACGACTAAAACTTCAAGCTCCAGAACCGTCCGCCCCGCCACAAGTTAACTCAGCTCGCCACTTCCGGGATGTTGCCTAGGTTACCGGAGCCCCACCCCATTCTCTTGCGTATATCCGGCAAGACC